AAATCAACTAAGTGATAGCACATAGAGATATGGCTGAGGTAATTCAGTGCTGCATCATTTTTTACCTTTTTGAAAATACCTTGGAAGTAGTGCATTTATTAGAATGCTTTATGTGTTTTTCCTCAACCAATTTGTTCTACTCCGTCAGCCAGGAATACACATATTGAAACTCATGCCTTATTCCAGGGTTTTCCTGTGACTGAATTAATGTCCTGCCTGTCTTGTATGTCTTTTGAAAAAGGAGTAACTCCAAGAGTTACCTCTAGCATAGCCAAAACCTTATGCAAAATTAAACCAGCACTAATGAATTTGGAGGGAAGATAAATTAAGCTAGTGATACTTAACTAATTGAAAAGATGTAATGTATGTATACTGAACTTCAATAACGACTTCCCTCAAAAGGCAGGAAGGAGGGAGAAAATGTATGACCAGGTAGAAAAGTAAATTCCTACTTAATTCTTTTTTTTACATAGCAATCTACAGTAAACTACTGTTTAGTTATGTTCAACTTTATTCACAAACTTATCACAGAAGCAGACAGGCTGGTCAGGCATGATTTAGAATCAGCAAATCCATGCTGACTCTTTCCAGTCCCCTACTTCTATGTACCCAAAAAACACATTCCAAGAGGGCTTGCTCCACGATTTTTCCAAGGAGTGCAGTGGAACTGAGCAGCCCAGGCTTTCCTAGATCACCCTTTTGACAGCTGGTTGCAGTATTTGTGTGGATTGCCTGTGCTCTCTGTGACCTTCAAAGGTGAGAGAACAGCCTCAAAAACGTGCCAGCTTCCTCAGCATCCTGAGATGCAGCACATCTGCCTGGAGAGACTGCATGGGTCTGGAACTCCCAGTGCTGCTGTTCTCAACCCTGAACCCTTCTTGAGAGGAGATCTGCTTTCCAAACAACATCCCTACAGCCCTGGCCAGTGTTTAGGGATTCTTCCTTTGGAGCCCACACCTGCTTCTCCCTCCTTTACACTGCACCAGGATGCAGCCACAAGATCCCTGTGAAGACAAGAGAGTCTTCCCAATCAATCTCCCTGCATTCCTGAATTGCTCTTGTGTTTGGGAGACACTGTCCTCAATGAACTGCCAACCTTTATGCTCCTTTACCCCACAGAACTGGCACCAGGGATTCCACCCCTCCCCATTTCCCACACAACCACCAAGATCTGCTCTCACTGCCTTCCCCACTCTTCTCAGGATCTTGGGAAGTATTTCCAGTATTACAGACACACAAAAGCTGGTGCTGCCACAGCCCACTTCAAGATTCAGTACAGTGCACAATTCACAACTTGTCAGGAAGACAGGAGTTAATTATCTCAGCATCCTTGTTGCTAGAGCAACTGCACTCCCTTTCTGTTTATATGTACGAAGTGTTCCAGGAAAGACACCGTGGCAATGTTCTGGCTGATGAAGTTCACAATACAATGATCAAACCTCCAAGATTAATTCTGGATGCGTTGGAGCTCTACTAAAATTATTGCAGCCCAACATCAGGGAATTTGTAACTTCTGCTGCACTTCACCTGTTCACTAGGGATTGAAGGGAATTATTTCAAAATGGCAGAGAAGTTTAATGGGAACCTCTAAGACAGAACCACAGAAAAGTGAGGGAGCAGAGATAATGCAGGGTTAGATTAATAGAAGTGTTTGCCAATTTCTTCATTTTACTAAATCATTGCAATAAAATTTATTGGCTGGCCACTGTGGGGTGACAGTGAGGGACGATAATCCTGCAGAAGTCATCAGGAGGGCAGAAACCAGATAACAAACTTGTTTTTCTCCTGCTCCACCACAGAACATTTACTCTGCCAAAAGGAATGATGTTGTTAAAGTCTTTGCAGTCAGCTGCAGCCACTTCTATCTATCAACCAGAAAATAAACCCAGTTTCACACATACACTCGAGTGACTTCACTTTTGGGCAAAGTCTGAAATCCTTGCTAGCAGGAAGGGTTAGAACTTTTTAATTAAACTAACAGGTCCAAAAGCATAGCCCCTCTATGAGAATTATGCAGGGTTTTTTTTTAAACTTATCAAAAAAGAAAAATACAACTATTTTACAAGAAAATCCAAACAGCATTTCGTAGAATAGAGGTTTTCATTCAACCCAGACTTGTTCAGAAGAATCTGACCTTCAGCACACCACCACTTGACTGTGACAGCTCGAGATCCAGAATCCCTGAAATGGCAGCAAGTTTCCTAATGGAGAATGACTCAGCATGGACCTCGCTGTAGGCAGCTGGCACAGGACACACCCCATGGAAGAGTATCAGCTGTTGCTGTTATCCAGGATCACAGCACTGCTTCCTCCAGCCTGACTCCTGACAGATCCTCCACACAGAAAATCCCCACCAAATTGCTGCCTAGTTTCTATCTTTTAGGATTTGGATCAGTGACACATTGCTAAGGATGTAATAAAGATTTATCTTACCTTAGACACACCAAACCCTCTCTGATAATTTAACAGTTATAATGCAGATCTCAGAATTGGTACAGGCATCAAGAATCAAGAGGGAGTGTGGCTTCCCTTCCCACACATCACACACTGTCCAGCTTCTTTTCTCACACTTGGGAGGTGAGAAAGCAGGTGGAATGCAGAGCTCCACCCGGGAACAATGAGCCAGTTGAAGCTCTTGGGTTGGACACAGAGGACAGGCCAACAGGGGTGACATTCCAGGGGATGTCTGCTGCAGATAGCCCTGCCATAGGGAAGCTTTCAAGGTATTCTTCAGACACCTGGGAGGAGCCTGACACTCAGAAGTGACCAAGGAGCCAAGGTGGCCCCTGCTAGATCTCATCCTTATGGACAATAACTGGTCAGGGATGTGAAGGCCAGAAATTTAGCTTCAGTAACCATGAGATAGTGGAGTCATGGATCCAAAGAGGCAGGAAAACAGCAAAAAGCAGCATCACAGCCCTGGAGTTCAGGAGAGCAGTCCTTGGCCTTGTTCAGAAATCTGCTTGGAAGACTCCTGTGGCACACAGAGCTGGAAAGAGGTCCAGGTGAGCCTGGGGATTTCTCAACTATCATCCTCCAAGACAAACAGCAAAGCAAGTAGGGTTGACCAAAGAGCTCCTGACAGAACTCACCCCTGAAAAGGAAACACACAGGAGAGAGCAGCAGGGAGAAGTGCCTGGGGAGAAACACAAACACAGAGGTGCTGTGTGTGTGTGCAGGTATAGGGACAGGAAAGCCAAAGCACACCCAAAGCTGCATCTGGCAAAACACATAGAGGGCAAAAAAGGATTGCTGTGGGTGCACCTGAGTGGGAAGGGGCAGGTTAAGGCCACATTCACCTCAAGCTTTAATGGTAAGATCAGCCTTCCAAAGCAACATTCAAATTAAAGATGTCAAAACCAGGTTTTGCTGTATCTACAGTAGGTATATGTGCTTCTGAGAGAATGGAACTTCTGCCATGTCCCTGGTTCCTGCAGTTCACTGGAAGGAGAAGGTGGACAAGCCAGCAGTAACAGTTAAATCAGAAGCAGCAGCAACTGCTGCTTACTCTATGTTAAACATACTCTAAATAGAATGTAAAAGAACATGATTAGAGGTCAGTGTGCTGATGTAGACTAGATCAGCAGAGCTGTCACTAGAGCCATTACTTTCATGATCCTCAGACAACTGTCCAAAACCTTTAGAGCAGCAATGTACAATTAACCACTTGTCTACTACTATTATAACAAGAGCAAAAATACCTAATAACTTTGTAATGTGTGTGTTAAACCAGGATGACTTTTTATTCATTGCTGTCACAGGAGAGAGTCAGCTGCTCTAACAGGAGGGCAGAAAGCCAGGTCTGATAGAATCTACCAGCTGTCTCCTTCACAAAACCAGCTCTTCAGCCAGTTCAACAGATGTGCTACCAAACACTCACATGCAGAGTGTTGTCACCATTACGTTTCATCCTGTGGAAGGTCTGCACCACTCAAACTCTGCTCAAGAGCCATTCTGCCCTGTCTTGGTTTTGTGTCCCCTTGAAAATTTGGTCATGCAAGTGGAGAGAAGTTTGGCCTGATTTTGACACAGTTTGTGCCTTACCAGTATTACTCCTTGCATCTTTACTTAAAGGAGAGAAGCATTACTTTATTGTGCTTGGTTTTCAGAATTTATTTTTCCAGAAGTCAAGAGTTGCAAGTTGCAGAACAGCCAGGGAAGCAGAGCTCCAAAATGAAAGAATTTTCTATCATCCTTCAACAGCTGTTAGGGCTCCCCCTCAATAAATGCAGAATAAGAGTATGAAATAGGCTACTTTAAGTTAGTGTACTCATTCTAATGGCACAGATCTTACGATTTTCACTACAAAAACCCTCTAGTTACTGCCCCAGTTAACAGCCTACTGCCTACAGCACATAATTAGATCTTCTACATTTTATGTGCTATTTTAATTTACAGGTGGCAAGGTACAGATATGCCATGGAATCCTAATAGCATTTTCCCACTTCTGCTCACATTCTTTATCTCACTCTTGATATGTAATACATTAAGCTTAGTAAAAAAAAAATGTTCTTAGGCTTATGCACTTAACACTGAATAAGTGTTTTAACAATATTTTTTAATTAATTCTCGTCTACATAAGAACTGAAACAACTTTTATTGCAACAGTGAACTCTGAAAATACTTCAAAAACAATAGTTCTGTACATTGTGGCTGTCAGTTAAGGAACTTGGACAAGTCCATACAAATGCAGAAAGGCCTTTAGCACTACTTGATAGACACTGCCAGTCACTGTCAGTTACAACATTCCCAGGTGTTTCTTTGGTAAATTTCAGCCTTACAGCTTTAATGCCCCTTATTTAGTGAAAATCAGCAGGCAGGACAGCAGCCTCCAAGGAAGGAAATACAGAAGCAATTGAGGAAACTCAGTGATAAAGGTGAACAGTTATGTAAGAATAGAAACGTTTCAGTGATCCTAAAACACTGGAAGAAAGGGTTCAATTGGCCTTATAGCAACTGTAACAGGTTTCCAACTAAACCAGCACTTGGCCTTTTGTGACACACTGATCAGCATGCTCAAATAAACCTCTTTTTTGGACTGCATTTTGGGTTTTGCTTGCATTTGTTTTGTTGGTTTTTTTCCTTATTGAAGGGAACGAGCCACCTCATCTTGAGTTTCAGTACCTACAAGGAATGAAATCTTCACACAGTTAGTTGCTATGGAAATAGTATTTCAAAACTGGACATCTGTTTGTACAAAATCTAGGAACAACTTAACAAAATAAGCTCTTATTTCTCAGAATCACTTGCTTAGAAGACACATGGACTAAGCACAATGCACAGACAGACAACTTTTTGGGGATTACTCCAAGCACTGGCTCCATAAAAGGAACATCTCACTTCCCTAGAAAATGTCAAGACAGTGTCCCACTTTTTTTTATGCCCCTAAATAATTATGACTGGTATCTACCCAGCCTGACTAAACTCCTGTGAAATACATCAGTTTGAATTTGATACTCTTTCAAAAAAAAAAAACACCCAAAAACAAACAAAAAACCTAACAAACCAGCCCCATAACACTTTTCTTCAGTCTCTAAGTTTGAGGGACATGCATTTCTTGAAAAGCAAACTGATGCAAATTAAAAAAAAAAAAATCTATGCTGTACTTGTCCCTGATGTATATAATACAGCCTGTCCCTCTAAGAATATTAACAGATAAATTTGCCACAGTATTTCTTTCAAGACATTTTATATAAAATCTGGTTTTTTGCCTTGAAAGACCACTCAAATTTTTCATGGCTAAAACTGATATATTACAGCAAACTTTTGGGACTCCTGACTTTAAATTAATTCCCCTAGGGCAGCCCTTCACACCTTCAATGCTTTCTCCCCTGTATCAGTTTTTGAAGCAAGACTGTTACACATTGAAATTCCATCTTCCACATGCAGGAGATGGGAAGGCTATTGAAAAAAGAAATGAAGCAAAAAGTTTAAATTGTTTACACTCTGGTCACTGAAAAATTCTTCTAATTCAATTATATTGATTAATCAATCTTGAATTTGCACTCTATTCATTAAGAAATACAAGCAGTACAGCATGCAGTTTTAAAGATGTGACTGTCAGGTCCCTTCAAAGTAAGTCTTCCTGTAGATAATGAACAAGATTCTTTAAATCCACTCAATAGTTTTATCATTCTAACAAGAACTTCAACTGTCAAGGTTTGCACAGAAGATGAAAACTAGTAGTTTCTCCAGAGTGCAGTTTATCTTAGGGAAACAAAGAAAATTAGAATTTACAGCTGTCCTGGATGTGAAAGAGATTTTCAAATACTGAAAGACTTGGATAGATCAGATGCACTTCTCAGCAATCGAATAACTCCTCTTCCTTGTACAACACTTGCTCCACAAGAGGAGGTCTTCACACCACATGGAGAATCACCTAATAAATTAAATACAGTTTGCACATCAAATCAGCCTTTAAAGCTTGCATAAATTAATGGAATTGCTGTTCATGCTGTGAAGCTGAACCTGTTCAACAGCTCTGATACAAAAAGCCAGGCAGGTCGTGTCCTCCACAAACACCAAGACCATAAGATCATGATTTCCAGGTGAAACAAAGTTTAATTCAGCATGGATCTTATGCATAAAATATCAAGCTGCAAACTCAGAATTCTTATTTATTTTGCAAACTGTTCCTCTGAAGGTCAGCCATGAAATGCCCAGATGAACTGAGCTCAGAGGCCCTTCTGCAAAAAGAGACTTTAAAAAAAGAACATCTGCAACAAGGACCAGCTCAGTCTGTACATACAATGAAATAAGAGCATGGAGACTATTTTAAACATTGCCCTGCCTCAAAGCACCTGGGCATGGCTTCAGGTAACATAGAAAAGCATAAATCAGAGAGCAACATTTCTAAGAAAAACTGAATTTTGAGAGATGTTTTTGACCCTAAGATTCTGTCCAGTAAGAAAAGCCCAGCTCTTCCCGCTCGAGTCTTCAGTGTGTGAGCTGTGCACCACTTCCAGGCAACATCTAAGCCCAGAAATTTGAAAAAGTAACAACTGGATTAAGTTTGAAGAGCTCTTTCCACTAAAAAAATGTGGACGTTTCAAACTCACAATTAGAAGCGACAAACTCTTGATCCTGTCTTGGAGAACCCATAGGTTTGTTGTATCCAGAACTCTCAGCTTTCATTTTCTGTATTAAAAAAAAATAAATATTCAAAATAAGGTACATGTATCTGCTAACATGAAACATACACCACTATCCATCAAACCTATGAATCATGGTCAAAACCCTGCAAGTTCATCAGTCTGCCCAACATATGTCATAAAGGACAGCATCCAAAGACAAAACAGCTCATGTGAAATTGGCAACTGGAAATAAATCAGGGTATCAATTGAAAAAATCTGACCTGGGTATGTCCAGCATCCACTTTTACAATCCTGGTGGTTGTGCTTTGATCACAATCAGAGTCTTGCAGAGGGAGGTGAGCTGCTGTTAGTGGGACTCCATACACACTAGCAAAGGATTTACTGATGCAGTAACTGGACCAAGAACAAAAGGAAAACAAGAAAGGTCTGGCTAAGAGGGCTGGAATGCTGATGTATGGAAGCACAGCATTTTATGTTCTTCAGCTGGCAAACAAAAGCAGCCAAAGCCTGAGATGCACAGAACAGATACCAGAGGGCAGAAGGACTTTCTGCCAGCATCCCTGCTTCCTTCCAAGACCACCAGTCTGCTGAACAACTACACATGTAATAAAAACAAACTGCTTCCCCACATTATCAAATGTAGCACGTAGAAGTGTGAAAAGCAACTTTTTTGGGGGGGGGACATAGCAGTCCATGATGAGTTTTTTCAATGAAAGCCTATTTATTATTGTCTCTCTAAGTTTTTTGGGGGGGGGGGGCATAGCAATCCATGATGAGTTTTTTCAATGAAAGCCTATTTATTATTGTCTCTCTAAGTGCTACTACTGCTGCCAAGAGAGATCATGGTATTTCTTCATTTCCAAACTATTTACTTTTTCTTTCTCCCCACCAAAAAGATCACAGAACCTTATGTATCTACATTATATGTCAGGCAGTATAGAAGTGGAGATCATGGCATTTCTTCATTTCCAAACTATTTACTTTCTTTCTCCCCACCAAAAAGATCACAGAACCTTATGTATCTACATTATATGTCAGGCAGTACAGAAGTCTCCAAAGCAGAGATATGCCAGAGCATAATGAGAATACCTCTGAAATCAAACAGTGAATTCTAATGTGATTAACACTTTTCTCACCATTGCAATGCTAACAAAATAAAAGCCATCATTCTGGAGTCAACTCCTCAACCAACACTCACCCCACTTTCTTACAGGATGCCAGAGCACAGCAGATTATATCATTCTCCTCATGCCACTTGCACCTACATCAAACAAAGTTCAGGCTTATTTCAGAAGCACCTACATTGTTAAGCAACAAGAACAGTTGATCTGGCCAGATGTACAGAACAAATGTTAAAAATGGTATCTTTTTGTTACAGTGATCATGCAGTACCTTTAAAATTTCACAGAGTTCAACAGCTTTGCCCTAAGTAGTTTATGCAGAGTTTAGAGGTCTGCTTATCAGGCAATCTGCTTCATGCTGAGGTGGGGGGCAGGGAGAAAAGAGAACCTTAAGAGACAAATGGAATTTAAACCATTTGAACCATTTCAAGCTTCCCATTAATGTGAAATAGCTCCTCCTAGCATAAACATCCTCACTTTCCTCTCCAAACCTGTCTTTTAGAGTACATTCTAAGGGACTCCTTAAAGTCCTCCCCTAGGGTGAGGACACTCATAGGAACACAAAACTGCCTGACTATAAAATGACAAAGTGACAATGATGAATCCAATGGATCTTAAAATCCATATTCCAAGCACACTTCCTAGAATAATTTACATAGTTTTTTTAAAATCTACTGAAATTTAAGATAATATTATTGGTTATTTTCTTAAATTATTTGCAGAGGAAGCACTAGAGTCTATTTCTGAATTAACTGCATATGCTCCTGCAGCACTGCAAGCAAATATCACTTTTTGCACCAACACAGAAGAATCTGAAAGCAGGCACATTTACAAGAACCACCCAACACACCTGGTATTACTGGAGAAATCCCACAGGCAGACATCCAGTTTTCTAGACACCCAGATGTTGCAGAGGAAGCACTAGAGTCTATTTCTAAATTAACTGTATAATCACCCAATATGCTCCTGCAGCACTGCAAGCAAATATCACTTTTTGCACCAACACAGAAGAATCTGAAAGTAGGCACATTTACACAAAGAACCACCCAACACACCTGGTATTACTGGAGAAATCCCACAGGCAGACATCCAGTTTTCTAGACACCCAGATCTTGGATGGCTCCTTTTGGTGTTTCTTCTGGTACAGTTTCATTATCAGGTCTTCTACTGCAAACAGCTCCCAGTGGCTCTCAATGCCTACAGTTCAGTGAAAATCCAGGCCAGGAGAACAGGAGTCACTGAATATCCTGCTCAGCTCATTTCTCAGTCAGTCCCTGTTCACTGCCCAGCCTCTTATCACAGCATCAAAGCTCAAAGATATTCCACCAGTGTTTTTAATAAAACCTGGCTTCCTAGGAAGTGGTGGGAAAAAGGAGGAGGAAAGAGCATGCAAAGGAGTTCTAGCTATCAGAACCAGCTTTTATGAAAACTGAGACATGCTTTTCAGACAAACACAGCTATCCATGAATACACAGCCCTTATTTCTGGGGGTAGGAGGGGAAAAGGATGGACAAAAATGATCCATTCCCTACCTGTTATGCTGGCCATTCGACCAAGACACCAGTTAATTCGGAATCTGTCATTAGACTGGAGGAAAAAAAGATTTCTGTCATCTCAAAGGAGCACAGTACAGAATTCTGACATTTCCATGACTTCTGTCCAGGTCTGAAAAAGCCACCTCCAAACCAAAATTGTTTGTGGCACTGAATGCACAATCAACCTGATGACCATCTTGAAGAGGACACAAATTTCATGCGTACTTCTTCAGAGCCCTGTGTTTATGGATGAACCCAGTATTTTGTCCCTCCCTACTTTTTAAGGATTAACATTAGGTTTGAATTGAATTGAAACATAATAGACCTGTTATGAAACTTAAACACCTCTGAATCCTAACATTTTGTTCTGTTGCCTGGAAAATGAAACTTGAGCAAAAATTTAAGACACGTGTTACTCTCATGGGGAAAAGAGTCACGAAAACGTAAAAATATCCTTTCAAAAAAGCAGGATTTATGACTATTATTGAGCACATCCAATTTAAGTCAAATCTTAGGAGCCCTTAACCAAAGTCATAACAATGTCAGAGAACAAAAGACCCTGTTCATCAGTAGATTAGAGCCAGAAGTGCAGGCTGAAAATAAAAAGGCAGAAAATTAGGTCTCTGCTTTATAAAAAGGCTGGCTTCTAGAGGCCATTTCTTCCTGCATGGAACTGGGACACTCTGGAAAAAGTGTCTTTCCCCACTTACATGCACACTGGTTAGGTTTCAGAGTGAAGCATGTCCTTAGTCACCCAAGAGGAGTGAGAGCAGAAGTGGGGATTTAGAGCTTTGACCTTGGCCATACCCTGCAGAAGAAGCGAGGCTGAGCACCTCTGGCTGGCTGGGCAAACTCAACAAGTTCCCGAAGCACAACTGCATAACAAGAACGAGGAAGGTGAAATCCAGATATTGGGATCTTATGGGTTTCATCACCTAATGGAGGGGGGAAGGGGGACAGGAGAAAAAAACCAACAAAACAACAAAAAAAGACAAAATTGTGAGAAGTACAGTTTCCTTAAGAGATACAGTTCCCTCCTCCTTTTTATCTTTCTGTATATATATATATGTGCACTGAAACACACACACGTTCCTCTCCACAGACAGGGTCTGTGTTTAAGCTAAGCTCTGGGCAGTGAGCAAACACTCACCTTCCTGCCCCTTTTACAAGGCCATTATCCAAGTATTAGATGTACACAGGCCAAGTTTGTTCCCTCTGTACACAAGGAGAGGAAGTGTCCTAATAGAAACAAACTGGAGTCTATAAACATTACTGAGAGTCACAAAGGAAACAGAGGCAGGCCAAGCCAGACGCAACAATGGCGGAGATATTTTATTTTTGTTAATATATGCCAAGCTGCTAAGCATAACTTTTAAATATAAAGTATTAAATATTAAAGTAAATATTTAAATATTAAAGTAAATATAAAGTAGTATCTTTGAGTTACCCTGTTGTTAAGTAGCACTTCATGCTGAAGATACACACAAGGACCACCAAGACTTACAAAACATTTGGACAGAGGTCAGATAAGCTGAGTCTAAAACTGCACACCTTTGCACACCATTCTTTTTCTCCATTAGTACTCACCAGCAGCCTGGCAGTGGTACCGAAAACCACGCGGTGGTACTTCTGCAAAAAACAGGAGAAAGCACAATCATCATCCAACACCACCAAGGAGAGATCCTTAACTCCCCACTACACACCACAGCTTCACATACAGAAAGGAACAGCATCTTCCCTCGAGGCCTTGTGAACATGTCTCAGCTATTTTTGGAAAAGTTATTTTCAGTTCTATGCATTTTAGAAAACAAAGTTTCATCTTCCCTCGAGGCCTTGTGAACATGCCTCAGCTACTTTTGGAAAAGTTATTTTCAGTTCTATGCATTTTAGAAAACAAAGTGCATTGTAGGGTGTGTTTAGGTCCAACCAAGAGAAACATTCATTGACATGAAATACAAAGCACAAACACGTGCAGGTCCTCCTGGGTTTAGCCTACCCTCTTGGGAGTTACATGAAGCTCTGACACTAATTCTCTTCAGAAACAAGCTCTGATATTTTAAGAAGTCTGACCATCTCTAATCAAAGAAATGAACTTGTCTTAATACCAGAAGTGTAACCTGGGCAGCAGTGACCCCCAGAAAGCTTCCCTCTCAATCCAGCACTTCTCTGACTTTCCTGGAACTCACCTGGATCTATGAAGTGGTGGAAATCAGCCACGATGCCATCTTGCAGGGAGTACCTGACACACCCAATCTCACAGGGAAGGAAGCGCTGCTCGCAGTGCGGTGGCAGCTTCCCGTAGCTGTAAATGTCCAGGAAGTAGAAGATGTCTGCAACCATATCTGAAAGAAAAAGAACAAAACCATCTTCAGGCAAGCCACCAGAGGTTACAGAAGCCATGCTGGTCTCCCCTCATCCAGGGAAAGCTTTGGTGAACTTTCTGCTATGACTGAGTGAAGAAGGGTAACAACCAAGCAAAACACACAGAGCTTTCTCTGTATCCAAGATGAAAAGATAACACTTATGCAGAATTCAGGCACATTGGTAGTGCTGATACACTTTCCAGAGATCCCGCTGTGTGCAGAAATGGGGCAAAAACCCCAAATACAAGCAACTAAAAAAAAAGGCTAACCTCCAAACCCACGTGATGTTAAGAGGCCTGCAATCCAACGGAACCACTATTCTTTTTAAGGATAGATCTCTTTGCCCTTTCATAAAATAAGGTTAGGGAAAAGCCAAATCAGTAGCTGCAAAACAGCCTCACGAGCTAAATTTGGCAGCGTACACCACTTAAACGAGTTGGTAGTAATCCTGTGGGGCAAGAAGATGAGAAGTCTGCTAATTGAAAGCATTGCTTCTCCATCAAATGAGCTCCCAAAGAAAGTGGCAAGAATACCCAACACAAATGTTAAGGAACAGATTTATCATTCACTAATTAAAAAGTATCCAGCTATGACACATATTTTACAATACACCTTAATCCTTTCTCTTCACGACCATCACCATATCCTCAGCAACGTTTAACACAGCTATTCAATCCTTACTCTTTACTACTGCCCCTCATCAAAAAAGTCCTACTTGCTCTACTAGAGATGTGTAACTGTCTTCACACATAAATAATTTTGTATGCCAGTCTTTAGGACATTTAACACCAGCTGCCCTAAGCCTGAATGGTCATGCTCCCTTATGTAGGTCTTAAACTGTATGAGCTCAGGGGTCATAGGAAAGGCACCTCTCCTTCCTTATGAAAAAATGGATATAGCTCCAGGGAACCATACACAACTTTAACTGAGAAATATTAAGAGCAGCATCATGAAATGTATCTCAATTATCCTTTATCATTATGCCTCCCATTCAGCTAGAAGATGAACTGTGCCAACTCAAGCCAGCCAGCATGATCAGCCCAATCAAATCTGCATCACAATGACAGGGGGGCATGACCCCTGGCAAAGAGGGCACTAATAAGCATTTCACTTTTTATGCAGCTACTGTTTCTTGCTCCCCCATAACCATGACAACATGAAAACAGTTCAAGAGACTGAGGTAAAAAGCTGGAGATGAGACTTAACCACACAGCAGATACAGCTCACATGAACTGGCTTCTTGACTTACCTTGTAAGCAGCACCTTTTATCATTTTACAGAATAACATAATATTCATTGGGTAGAAGATTACAAATGTGTTCACTACCCAGCTCTAATTAGAACAACCATTTGGAGACAGGTACAGGTTAGAAATGTTTTGTTTTCAAGAGTTCTTTCAATAAGAAAGCAAGTCAGGATGTTATAAAGAGTGCATTTATTCTCCCAGTGAGGCCAGGCCCTTGTTTTATTTAATACCTCTATCACACCAATTTTGAACATTGATATGTAGCAATTCTTAACCCTTTCAAATCAATACAAGTATTCTTTTATGCTGAACTTGGATTAGGCCTCGTCAAATCATCAGTGTAGGACTCGAACAACTACCTTTTCCTTAAAAACCCTGAAATAACTGTTAAGAAACTTTTAGTGGCTATACTCCCATTGAGCTAAAAACCAGAAGACAATTCTTGGAGGTTGGGGGGAATGGTATTTTCCATTATGTCCCTCTGCCTTTTACAGCAGTAGCCCAGTAGTGTAAAACACCTGACACAGATGGCTTTTAGCAAAAAATTGTAAACAGTCCTTGCACAGGTACCACTGAGAATATCCTCAAAGGGCAAGCTCTCATCTACCAGGACCAACTGCTTTAAAATCACCATACCCTGATCATTCTTCCAAGACAGAGCAGAGGCATCTGGCAAAGGAGTAACACTGGGCATCTTTGTGGGCAGAGGAGCAGGAACTGGATCAGGCACGTTACAAGTCTGCAAAAGATGAGAAAGTTAACAAAAAACAATAACAGAAATCTTCTCACCTTCAGCTCCTTACAGCAGAAGAAAATGCAATATCCAGTAAAAGCTGTGCTTAGATAGAAAAGTTTAATGTATTAAAGTCCCTGTATACTTGCAGGCCAGGAAAGCAAGATTTCTCTTCAGTACCTTTGTCAACCCATTACTGCTTTAAAGAACTACAGATAAATTTACAAAATGTAATTTAAAAAAAAAGAAAACTAAGTATTTTCTTAAATTCAACTGCTTGCCACAGGCAAACCACTCTTCAAACTGGAATTTAAAACTTTTCTCCATAAGTTTTACGAAAAAAGCACCTGGCACATGTGTTAGTTGTCTTTGACTAGGAAACAGGCTCATGAAAAGCTGATAAAGCCTTAAGGAAGTCATTGGACTACTCTGAAAATCCATTCATGAACAATAAGCTTTTAATAGTATGGGAAAAGAAACCTGGCAGCCTTACAGAATCTGATCCCTCAAACAAATTGGGAATAACATCCACACCCAGGTACACTGATTGCAGATGACCATCTCAGCCAAAGTTAATTGGTTATCAGTTTGAACTGTCTAAAACAAAATGAGGAATTATTCCCATCTAAGCAAGCTTTGGCCACCTCCAGAAGAGGAGCATGGGCTTTCACTACACAAAGTGACTGTGGTTGTCTGTGTACAGGGCTGGGATTAATAAAACAAGAGCACATAATCTCACATATCCATATTTGCCTATTTCCAGACACATTAAAGATGGTGATCTTTACTCTGGTAAAGCAATTATTCATTCCTCTCCCTGATTACAATCTTCTAAAATGCTGCAACTTGTGGAAGGAAACACAGAAGGCTCCATTTGTGATTTGTCTGCCATTTCACTTAGTTCTCCCTGACACATAAAAATGGAGTTTCATTAATTACACACACTCAGCCTGCCACACGACACAAGGATGATCACATTTTAAACAGCTTTTTCCCAGACATGCAGGCCCCCAAAACCAGAAAACAATGCCTAACACCTCCCTTCTAGTCTAGACTGACTAATTTAATGAATCCATTTTTTACTAGTTACTCCAAACTACGATCATCCTGTCATTCCCTCTATCACCGTGTAAGTGTTTTGAAGCCCTGGAATTTATCCTCACCATTAATTCACAGTTCACAGTCATTATCTAGTAATAGAGCATTAAGAAGTAAATGCAGTATTATTCATTTACTCAGACAGCAAATGTGACTTTCCTTGGACACACGAGTTTTTACACTACCAACAAAGACTAAAATGAAATAAAATAAGCTGACACTGCACATAGTTCAAACTCTTAAGTAACTCTGCTTCAGAGAAGTGCTGGGAGAGGAAAAGAGAAACAAACAGGACAAACACCTTTTCAAGGCAGTAAATAGCAGAAATTATCTGTTTAGCACCATTTCAGACACAAGCATACACACTCAAACCAGCTGCCTACTTCTACATTGTTCTCCACAACAATGTTACTACTCTCCTCCCACATCCAACCAACCTAAAAATAATGGCAGGGTGTAATTATTCCATTTGTGCACAGGCCACATTTCATTGACCTGGCTCACCACACAGCTCCTCCAGACCAACAAATCAGCTGCTTCTAAGATTTGTGCTTGGAGGCCATCAGACAAGAACTGCCTAAACCAATGACACCCAAAAAGCAAAACCAACATAAACTTATAACAAGAAGTAACACCAATTTACAGTATAAATTTTAAAAATATTTAAAAATTGAGTCAGGCACTGCAAAATACTGTTAAACATAAAGCTAGAGTGTTAGAGAACTACATTTTACTTGGTAAAAGAGACGAAAGGAACAAGCTGTGATGGCTTAAAGAGGTATCAAGTATCTTCACCTTCAATTCAAGCCAGAACAATTACCTGCATAAATCATGTAATGACAGGTATTACTAATGCAGCCATACCCTCCAGAGGCTGGAGGATGTGGAGAGCAGGTGGAAACTGCACAGCATCCTATGGAACTGAGCACAGAGCCAGATACCGATTACTCCTCCTTCTTACTGAGGGCCTTCCATTGTCAGCATTTACCTCCTTTACGGCCTTCTGAGAGTGCTTCTTGCTATTCCATTTACGTGCCTTCTCTGTATACACCGTCTTCTCTTCCTCTGTCAGGGACTTGAAGGAAGATTAGCTGTTATAAATAGGTTTCTAGCTTTTTCTAGTAGTCCCACAAACCAACAAACTCCACGTGTAAGAAATGACTCCTGCACTTCCAAAGGACATTACTGATGGCTGCCGACTCACTCAAACACTCCCAGGCGCTTTTTTTTCCTAATAAGTATGATTACAAACACCCAGCAAGGCGAAGGTGAAGCGCCTCCGAGTGAGGGCAAGCCACAAACAAGAGACCTCCTGGAACCATTCCTGCCGGCCGGGGATGCCAGCACCGCCACCCCACCAGCACACGGACCAGAGCGGAGGGCAGCACGGCACCGAAATGGCGCCGAGCCCACCCTCCCGGGAAGGCGCCGCCGGCATCCCGCCCTCACCTCCCACGCCTGCGAGCAGTAGGGGACGGCGTCCGCCACACGGGCCACGGGCAGCCCGCGCCGCTCCAGCTCGGGCAGCTGGTCGTGCACGAAGCAGGAGAAGGCGCTGCGGTAGCCGCCGCGCCGCGCCATGGCCTCGCCGAAGGGCGCTGCCCACACGCGGCCCCTCATGAGCGGCGGGCGGGGCGGCGCCCGCGCCTTCGGCGGCGAGGGCGGGGCGGCCATGGCAGGGCAATCTGGGGCTCTGCTGCCCTGTGTGGGCTTCCCCTGCTCCTTACCCGGGTGTTGTCGGTGGGACAGATGGCGGGCAACAAGCCCCAAGGGTCACAGAACGTTACGGGGCCTTAGAGATGGTGTAGTCAGAGCTCCGTCCAGCCTGGCCTTGAGCGCTTTCCAGGCATGGCAGCTTCCCTGGGCAGCCTGTTCCTGTGCCTCACCGTGCTCACAGCGGGGAATTCCTTGCTAATATCCAACCTAGGTTTCCTGTCGTTCATAAAATAAAACAAGAGACAGGGCAATAATCACAGCAGGTCAATAATCACAATTGGCATTAAAATGAATGTATGTCACTAGAACCTGGTAAGTGGTTAGCACCCCTTATCAAGGATGTCCTGTAGCAAACACACTCTATGGATGAAGTAAATCAAGGTGTTGATGTATATATTGCCAACTTGGCAAAAGGTTTAAAGCCCGTGCATCCTGTAGAATCCTAAAATCAGGGTTGGAAGAGACCTTTTAAGATGAACCAGTCTAACTCGGCACTATCGCTGTAACCCCTAAACCACAAAAGCACATCATGAAGGGTCAGATCCAGGTGCCTCTTAAACACACCTGGATATACTTGAACTACCTTCATTGCAATATTAAGAATCACACCTCCAGGTCAGAAAAGATCCCTGTCTAGGTGAAGATCCTTCCCCTGAATATGCACAGGAGCCTGGTGGGACTATGCAGTTGTATGGTAATTATTACCAATCACACTTGGGAGGTTACTAACAGAACATTTTGGTGTGTAAGTAATGGCATGGAAAGCCCAGTGGACTGTGCTTGATTTGTGAAACACCAACAGGCACCCAGGCTTGTGCAACACCAAAATAAGTAAATAATCAATGTCCCTCTCAAATGTACAATTACCAGCTTGTTGCACACCAAATAGATGAATCTGAATTTTGTGGACAGCACCTGTGAAGCAGGTCCTGATGAGAGTGTGGAATGGCTGCTCTTCTTAATTTTTTTGTTTTTGTGTTCCTTGGGTGCTGAAGGATAAGAAATACCCCATGGGAATATTAGTTTGCACCAGGTTCAGGAAGGAGAAAGGGGAAAAGAAGAAACCAACTTCAGCTGAGAGCCCTGGGTTTAGTTTGAGATACATGGCAGGAAAATGGAGGAGGTGAGCGGGCATGTGTGCACTTGGAAGGGCAAATTTCTTTATTAAAAATTATTTGGAAGCTCATGTTACACAAAACTGAGGCTGCTGTTCAGACTCTCTTTTTGTGGTTTTGGGTTGCTTTTTGTGGTTTTTGTGGTTTTTTTCCCATCATATCTCATTGACATAATTGACACTTCCTTCACTGAAATTGCACAAGGAACCACAGTTCAGATGAAACAAAAGCTGGAAGTAATCTGATCTGCATCATCTTGATAAGTGGCACAGAGTTGCTTCCTGCCTTAGGCTTTCTATTGATCTCTCAAAAATCAAATGATCTTCACTGGCCATAGTAAAAAACTTAAATAAAGAGAAGCTAGCAGGGCAATAATCACAGCAGGTCAATAATCACAATTGGCTTTAAAATTATGTTTAATCAGTTTGCTGAAATCTGGGTTCCTGGAACAGAGGACCCTACATTTGACATGAGACAGGGTTACTGGAGTGGCAATATTGGCATAAGCCCTGATTAATTTCTGGCCTGATTTTTCTTGGCCAGGGCATGTGATATCTCCCACATTCCTTGCTGTTCCCCTGTCTTTTGGGGAATCTCCTTCAGCATCCATGTGCTTCTCATGCAGCCATCTTCAGTGGAGTTATCCAGACTGTCTCCATGAAAATAAATGGTGCAGCACTGACATGGAAGATTCTTTGCAATTCTCCATCCCAGAATCCTCTTGAATTTGCTATAAACTTAGACATGAGGATAAAAGCAGCAATGAAACACATCTATGCATTTCCAAATCACTGGAAATATCTGCCTCTTTTCCTCAATCTAGCCACTTTTTTTCATGTTTTATCAGTCTGCTCAGCTCGAAAAAAGGTTCAGGCTCAAACCTTTGACTTAGCTAATTATGTTTGCCAATGCTGGAATTGCTGAAAGGTAAGCTCACACCAGATTGCTCTTGCATCTCCCTGGTGGCTGGTTTCTCTGAGGGTTAAAAATGCTGGCTCGTTCTGGAGGCAGTTCTGTCGTGCTCAAATCTTGTGAAACAGCTTGGTTTGTGTTCTACTTAGGAAATTTGCTGTTAAACATATAGGAGGAATCAATTACATTGTTAAAAATGTAGAAAATCATGATGTTACCTCAAGGTAAGCATTTTTAAAGCCACTTTTACTGCTGTGGAAAATAATTTCTATTCCAGTCTAGTTCCAGATACATTAATGCTAAGTCTCTGAGGAAAGACTGCAAGAAATGACTTGTGTCTTGTAAATATAAACATCTGCACAGAGCCTAGTTCTTTCAGGCAGAAAGGCAAGTGTTTACTGTTATATTACTGTAAGAGTTGTTGCTAGGAGTGCATCTGTGCACTTGTGTTTTATTTTTCTTCACATCATATTATTTCCTCTCATGTGCAGCTTTGGGACCCACCCTTCAGCAGCCCTTCCTTTTAAAGAAATTCAGATAATGTGTGCATCAACTGTTTGAAAAACACAAGGCTCCAGTGATAGCTCTCCTAGGGCTAGAGGTGTGGTTGGAAAATAAAATTCATAAGCAGCAGAGAGAGAAAGGATTTTCCTCTGTGGGGTGGGGGTCAGATTAAAAAAACAGGGAACAGATCATCTTCAGAGCATCATAGCATCAGTATTCTTCCCCAGGGCCCTGAGGAGAGCCCATTGCCTCTGAACAAACTCTTGTTTTAAATCTTCATTTGTCTGCTGTTTAACTTAGCAGGCAAAGGACTTTTCTGGACCATTTACACTGATTTGAAAATAACATTTGTACCACTGGAGCCCTTCCAGCAGAAAACAACAAGTGTTGTGCCAGTATTTATATATTACTTGGGGGTTTTTTGTTGTTGTTGTTTCTTTTAAGCACTTAATTTAGTTAATTGATATGCCAACACTTTAAGTCCTCTGTACCTGGCTTTGGAAACATAGCTCCAGGATTTACAAAATCAGGATAAATGGTCCAGAGAATTCCTCTGCCAGCCTGTGCTTTTCTATCAATGCATGGAGTTTGCCAGGACCTCAAAATAGGGACTATGTACCCTGGTACTATATGTACAGAAAAACTATCTGGAACTTTTCTGTCAGAAATGTATTTTCATAAATTCAGGGTTCAAGGCTATAATCTTAAAAAGTTATTCTACAAAGCACGGCAGTGACTGCATCTGCTGTTCCCCACTTACCTGCTGGTCTGGGGCTACAGCACTCCCCCATAAAGGGAAATATTTGGTGTTTATGTTGGAGGAATCAGGCCAGATCCATCAGCCCAGGGAGAGGCGAGGCTGATGCAACTCCACACTCCCAGGTCCAGTGAAGGGAGGTCAAGAATGTAAAAAGCACGGCAGTGACTGTATCTGCTGTTCCACTTACCTGCTGGTCTGGGGCTACAGCACTCCCCCATAAAGGGAAATATTTGGTGTTTATGTTGGAGGAATCAGGCCAGATCCATCAGCCCAGGGAGAGGCGAGGCTGATGCAACTCCACACTCCCAGGTCCAGTGAAGGGAGGTCAAGAATGTATTCCCAGCCTAACCCAGCTCCTGCTGTGCTTTTCCCATTAGAGATGAGCCATCCTCTCCCCCTCCCTGGCTCTCAGGGCACAGGACCTTCCCACACGAAGTCCAGCTGGATTGTAACTAACGCTGTCACCTCACTCCCTCCTGGCACCACTGACATGAGGGCTTCTGGCTGCTGCTCTGCCCTAGGGGACAGTAATCCTGGTCACTCCCCCGGGGCTCTCCAGCTGCTGGCACCCAGACAGTCACTCATTCCAGCTCCTGGCCCCAGGGACACGTAGGGGCCCTATCTACCTCAGTCCCATATTCCAGGTGCTGGATTTAAATCGACTTTTTCCTGTTTGTCCAGTCACAGTCGCCCAGGCACATGGACTCTCCCACCCATGGCATTGCTAGAGGCTGGCACCAGACCCCCATACACGTGGACATGCCCAAAACAGAGAGTTGCTCACTCAGAAAAGAAGTTATAAAGGAATTTAATAAGAAGAAATGAACACAGTGTGCATGATGGATAAGCACATCAACCAGAAAACTCTTCACACTGTCTGGTTCTTTTTATCCCCTTATCCATCTATTTATCTTACCTATTCCTTCCTAAATCACCTAGAACTCTCGCTTTCTTTGCCTTTGATTCTTTCTCTAAGCATCCCACGAGGAGTGCTATGCAATCCTGAGATGCTCTTCCCTTGCATCCCCTGAATCCTAAATCTGTAGGACACAGTCCTCCTCAGTTCTAAAGTTGCTGTGGTGTTGACTCATCGTAGCAGGCTCCAGTCCCTATCCTGGAGCCGATACTTTCCTAGGACAGCCCTAGGAAGAGCCTGGAATGGTTTTCCTTTATTCTGAGTTCCTATCTGAGTGTTCCCATCTGCCATTGTGTCCCTGTGCTTCTTTGGACTTGTGAAAATGGGCCACTGATGAGCTTTTGTGGTGGGTGTGGGAGGAGCAGGGCAGGCTGTTAGTTGGGCTGCCAACCATTGAAGTGCCATTGTCCCTCTGCACTCCTTTGTCTGCTTTGGAGACGAGCTTTTGTCACATAATCTCACGGCTGATTTCTTTCTCAGCCTGGTTATGGAGATTTAAAAACATACAAATTCTCTGGAGAGTGGTACAAAGTATAGACCAGAATTATTATTGTTTCACATGCAATGCATAAACATCTCAGGGATGAGAGCTTGCAGGCCTCCCTTCCCCAGGTGAATGATTTAACCAGTCAGCTACAGCTGCCAGCTTTCTTTTTTGACCTTTTGATT